CATGGACCAAACATGTGAGCAACGACGAGGTTTTGAAGAGAATAGAAACAAAAAGGAAACTAATACTTAACACCAGAAAGAGGCAGTTGAAATTTCTGAGGCACGTAATGAGGAAAGAGGGCTTGGAAAATCTGATACTCACAGGATAGATTGATGGAATGTAGGGCAGATGAAAGCAGCGCGTAACATACTTGATGGACTTGAGCAAATGGATGACAGAACAGGGTTTGGGAGAAATAACAAAAAGACAAAACTTATTAAGAACTACAAGGGACAGGAAGATGTGGAGAACCATGATCGTCTACACCCTGAAGGGACACGGCATATAAAAGAAGAAGAATTCTCAGGGACCTCGCCTAACTGCATGTAAGATGCGGGAAATATTTACGATTATTTTTTGTTGATGGTTAGTCCTTTCTTCCTGCTTTCCTTTCCTACCTTCTGTAGGAGTGCCTGTAGTTTATTTTCCATGTCTGCTCTCAACATTGTCATCTGCGTGTCTTACATTGTTAGGATTGTGGCCGCCAAAAATGATTCCTGGTAGGACTTCTAGTTCTCTCAGAATCCCCTCACTGTAAAATTTGTTGAGAAGACACATCATTGCCTTACGTTCTTTTCTATTTTTGTTATTTACTGAATCCATTTTCTATTTGTATGCAGACATTGATCCCCAGTATAAGTTCTAGATTGTTCTAATGTTCTCCCTAAATACACGAAGCTTACCTAATATTTTCTATAGTTTTTGTGATAGACATTATTAAACGCTTTTAAATTGTCTATAAAACATAAGCATATTGATTTTTGTGATTATATTGCTCAATCTAAGCATAAATATCGCATTCCTTATGTCTTTAAGCGCATTGTTCCCGTTCTATTTCCGGCCTAATTCTACTGCGCGCTCAATTCATCAGAATTTGGATTTTGTCATGTGGCACATTAGGCTGATGATCCAATGGTGTTCACATTCGTTTGCACCTGGCTTCTTGGGCAGTGTTACTATCATTCTAATTCCAGATCAGTGTTTCTGTTTTTACAAAGGTTTATCAGAAGACCTATTTTTCGCGCTACTTGACATAGAATGCTGATCTTTTTTGTTGTTTTTTGTTTTTGTTCAAGATCATTCTTATACTATGAACACTTCCTCACTCCGACTGACATCTAGAGCGAAAAAAAAAGCATTGTTTACTGTCAGTAGATTTATTTGGGATAAGTAAAGTATATTCAGATGTTCTAGACCAGTGTTTCCCAAAGTGGGCGATAGCGCCCCATTTTGGGCTCTGTTATGTTGAAAGGGCTCACTGGGTTTTTTTTTATTTCATTTTTTTGGGGGGAACATACTCAGGTGGTGGTGGGCATGTATCCATTTATTCAGATTTTCAAATATTATTTAATATTGGCCACAAAAGGAAATTTCTGAAAGTGCTGTGGGAAGCTATCAAACTTTTCTTCATTACATTTTCAACTTCATATATGGCTGAATGTGGTTTCAACGCAGTTACAGAGCTTCTTACTAAACAAAGAAACCGCCTGCAAATTATAAAACAAGGTGATTTGCAGTTACTTCCAAGAAGCATGGAACCTAGTGTAAGAGCACCAAAGTAAGTAAGTACCAAAGTCAACCATCGCATTGAAAACATTGAGATAAGCTATCAAATGAACCTAGAGTAAGAGCCTTAGCCAGTAAGCACCAAAGTCAACCATTGCATTGAAAACATTGAGATAAGCGATGAAATGAACCTAGAGTAAGAGCCTTAGCCAGTAAGCACCAAAGTCAACCATCGCATTGAAAATATTGAGATAAGCTATCAAATGAACCTAGAGTAAGAGCCTTAGCCAGTAAGCACCAAAGTCAACCATCGCATTGAAAACATTGAGATAAGCTATGAAATGAACCTAGAGTAAGAGCCTTAGCCAGTAAACGCCAAAGTCAACCATCGCATTGAAAACATTGAGATAAGCTATGAAATGAACCTAGAGTAAGAGCCTTAGCCAGAAAGCACCAAAGTCAACCATCGCATTGAAAATATTGAGATAAGCTATCAAATGAACCTAGAGTAAGAGCCTTAGCCAGTAAGTACCAAAGTCAACCATCGCATTGAAAACATTGAGATAAGCGATGAAATGAACCTAGAGTAAGAGCCTTAGCCAGTAAACACCAAAGTCAACCATCTCATTGAAAATATTGAGATAAGCTATCAAATGAACCTAGAGTATGAGCCTTAGCCAGTAAGTACCAAAGTCAACCATCGCATTGAAAACTTTGAGATAAGCTATCAAATAAAAGTTTTTTTTAGGATTTTGATCATTGGCATTTCTCATAAAAATGAAAACAGTATTAACATTATTTTTGTAATAATACCTAAGTGTTATCTTGCTATGAAAGGTGAATTCAGTATAATATTCGAAATTTAGTTTGACAGGGGGAGGGGGCGTTTACAAAAAAGTTTGTGCCCAAAGGAAACGTTGGTTGAGAAAAGGTTGGGAAAGGCTTTTCTAGACCATTTCGTCAAAAATCTGCTTCGAAACAAGCAAAACAAAATCTGTGAATATTAAATAGATTGGGAGTCTCATTCCCCCCTCCCCTTCGCATTGCACTGACTTCTATTAGTTTTGCTGGCGTTTGAAATGAGTCGGTCTGGGGACGGGCTAGACCCAGTTTCTGCCACCCGGCGCTAAACAACTGTGCTTAAATTGTCCTGCTCTATGTTGCAAATATCCAAGGTGACCCACATCGCTGAGCACAGATTTTGCATCGAGCAAATCCTGCATAAAGAAACTTGGAGAATTCACTGACCGAAAAGTTGTGAAAAGATGAGGTGAACTAAATAATAATAATAATAATAATAATAATAATAATAATAATTTATCATTATTATTATTATTCCATTTGGCCCTCAGAAGAGCGTTGGCCGTCAACGTCAACCCGCCATCAAATTCGGTTTTGAGTTCTCAGCTCACTTGCGTCTCTTTTAATCGGCTATCAGTATCACGTCTCTGTGTATTACTTGGCCTTCAACAAGCCTTCTTCCATTTTGTCAGCAGGTTCCAGATCACAGCTTGGCGCGTGAGCTGGTTCGACTGCACCTGAAGAGCCATCCGAGTCAGACTTTGGTCAAAGGGTAAGAGTGACAGTCTAATGTGGACCACCTCGTTCACGAAGCAAATGGGTTTGTGTAGAGCCATCAACCTCGTGTAGAAAACAAACGTTACTGAGGCATCACCAAGAATTCGAAAATAAGAACATTTTGATCGCGAAAGGACAAGGTGCATGTCGCGCCTCAGTGAAAGATGAACGGAAGCTGATGGGCAGGTCACATTTCTAATTCCAAGGAAAAATACAAAAATCGCAAAATGGAATATCAGAATAATGTATGAAACGAGGACCACCCGGGTAACATCGGGGGCTGAAAACCTGCGACAATTCCCTTGTATTTCACATTTTGTACACAAGTAAACAAAGTAAATACTTGTTTTCATCTCTATCTATAAAGGCAGGATGCGTGTGTGTGTGCGCGTGTGTGTGTGTGTGTGTGTGTGTGTGTGTGTGTGTGTGTAACGAATGCACTGCCGCAGTTTTCGACGGATTTGCACCAAAATTTATATGCACATGCTCCAAGTTAGCGGAAAGGCCAAGACCGACTTTGCATTTCCCAACTCCCATCGACTTTTTCATGCTTCTACAGCAGTTTTCATGTAGTTTGCGGCCATTTTCTACAGGCCAGAGTGAAAGCCTATAGCTGGCTGCTGAGAATAGGCAGGAAGATTCTATTGGCCAGCGTGAGAACCAACAGCTGAATGACATGAATGTTAGCTAGCATGCTAGCATGCAAAAAAAAAATCGATAGCTGAATTCGTCACAAGTGGGAAAAATTTAAATCTGCATGGCACTTTACTCCAATTGGCTCATTCGCTTGCTTAAACTCAACGTTGATTCTGATTCCGCAGAACTGGATTGGGTGTGAAAAAGTATTTGTTGTTAATATTCTTTTGCCATTCGGTTTTTCCAGTTACGAGTCCTTTTTTAAAGCTGATCATTTTGTGTTCATTTTGTTTAGTTCTTTTTTCGTAACAGATTTAATATTTAGTATAGAACTTAGAAAAAATTCGCAGTGTGAGATAGGCAAGAAGTAAGGCATGTAGCAACATCAGCACGGCAAAGGGCACTCCTTTTAAAGGCAAGGAAGGGCAAAAATATTTTAAGTCAAGTGATAGCGATTGCTGTATGAGTCGTATAATTTTTGAATCAAGCACGGGCAACGCCGGGCCATGCTGCTAGTATTTAATCAAATATATCAGTGCATAGGCACATTTATAGAAATGTGTGTACATGTATCAATATGCGAGTGCTTGTATGAATGACATGTTTATATGCAAATATCTACGCATAGATATGTATAGTGATTTTCTAAGCGCTGCTTAGATGTGGCACAAGGTTGAAAGTATGGGGCACCCAGTGAGGATCGAACTCACTACTTAGCTGTAACTGATCTAGCAAGACAAGCTTTCTAACCATTACACCACGTTGAGGTGCCCCACATAGATATGTATATATTCATGTTTTTGTCCATTTATCGCACACGTATATGCATGGTGGAACTGAGCTAGACGATATGGCTACAGAGTTGAATGTTAAATTTGAATTAGCTCATATTTAAGGAATTTTCCTTTTGTTTAAACCTTGGTTTAAATCAATGAAGCTACTTATCTCTTGAAAGTCTATAATTACATATTCTTCATCGGTTTTCTGTCAACTGTGAATTTAAAAATAAATTTGCGTCTGTTCGTACGAATTGATCGATACACATTACAGCCAAAGAATAGAGTGTCTAAAGATTGTCTGAAGTGAAAAGGGTAACAAAAAAGTAGTCAAAAAGTTATTATAAAATAGAAATAGAAAATAATAAAAATCTCTAATCGATTTAAGAGCATTACTGTTTTTACTTCTTGATCAATAATACGAGTCTAGGGTAGATTAAAAAAAAAATACTGAAGAAAAATACTTACGGTCACACCACGTTGAAATATCGGTTCCCGTACGATCACCGACGTTAAGCAACGTCAAGCCTGGTCAACACCTAGATGGGTGACTACTTGGGAATACCGGGTGCTGTAAGCTTGGGTGTGCGGGTGTTGTAATGAATAATGGTCCGGAATTGTTAATTGGAGAGCCGAGTTCTAATTCCCGTTGTGTTCGCTATATTTACTTACAAGCCAATACCCTTGGGAAAGGTATGAATCCACCTCTTCTTCTCCTAGCTATGGGTTAATTAGTAAAATTTCTATCACTGAACCATTATTATCTCTCCACTCTCTACAACAAATTATTATAAGCTAAAATTATTTTCTGGCTTTAAATAACCTGCAAAGGGTTGATAAACCGTAGAAAAAGAATCAACCAAGCAACCAGAAGACAATGACAAAAAGAACCCTGTCTAAAAATGGTGAACACGTCGACTCAGGAGCTGCGTGTTCGTTTTTTTTTTTTTTTTTTTTTTCGAATTTCAGCATTTTAATTCAAAAGTCGAAAATGGATTTCCTAAACATGTAGTAAAATGCAATAAAATATGAAGATACACGTCAAAATTAATAATGAAAATATTTTACTAAAGGATACTACTACTACTACTACTACTATGATGGAGTCAGCAATATAGGCGTATATGGCGCCTTGGTGTGGGATAATGTCTAGCAAGCTAGTCTAGTTGACCATTAGTATTGAGTAAGGAGTGCCATCTTTACGGGGTGCCCTATATTTGTAGCCTTGTACTAAACGAAGTTAAACCTGTCAACTTGCAATATTACGTGTAATAAAAAGCATGAAAAGAATACGAGAAATCAAGGATAATAACTATGACTTACAATAATAGCTCTGATGACCTAAATGGCAATGGCGCCGTCCATGAAAGTCGAGTTTCCTGTGCACGAGGTCTGATCGAAAATGATCAAGCCATTTAATATTAACTAGAAAGTTGCCTACCTACTTCAAAGTGGAACTACACACGCTTTACACGTGCGTTTCATTTTTTTCTCCAGAAGTTGGCAAAATCCTCTTTTGGCCACGTTATGTTCTTACTTTCAGTCACAACCTTATATCTTTTCTCTTTTAATATCGTATGGAAATAAATCTGGAATATAATGGGCGGGTGGAGATCTGCAATATTTTTCATCCTAAGTAATATCTACGAGATGCCATTCTGAATGCACTCTCATTCAATGGTGGATTACTGTCGACTGTGTTGCAGGCATATTTCGTAATAGATAGTAGCATAGTCACACTGAAATTTTAAACTACAAATTTGTTATTATTTTCTTTTACTGTTTTAGTCACGATGTGTTCTCAGGCCTTCCTGGTATTGCTTTAAGTTTTAAAATGCTAAAGTGTCTTTATTTAATGAAATATTCAAACTAATATTGTTGCTTTGCTCGAATGGTAAGTTTTTCGAATTTGGATGATGGCAAAAGTTAGCAAAATTTGTTGACGAGGTAAATGATTCGGTTAAATGCTTATCGAAGACAACTTAAAGACAGTCGGAAATCTGACCGGTCTTTAGTTGTAATGATTGAAAGATATTAACCCAAATATTTAACGCAATAACGTGATCGTGTTTTTTTTTTCTCAATTGAGTTCTATTGTACGCGTTTATCGTAAATTTGTTTCTTTCTATTGAACCCAATTTGTTTTCTGAAAGCTATTGGAGTATCGGGATGACATGTCTATTTTTAATGCCACCACGCTATTTGTTTGGATTTTCGTATAAAGGGAAAGGAAGCCGTGGCATTAAACACAGATACTTCACTTTGATCCTATGTAGAAGAGTCATTGAGTAATTACTCTTAACCAAAAATAAATAATACCGACGTTTTTTAATTATATATATATCTTTCGTTGGAAGTGACGTCTGATGATCCAGCGTCCTTTAAAAGGTCTCTGGTGAAATAAACTATTGCAATGGAGCCTTAAAGTGGTCTGTTTTCTTTAATATATATATATATATATATATATATATATATATATATATATACAAGTATAGGATTGGTGTATCCGGAATAAATTCCAATAACCAACAAATACTATTCTTAAAAGAGTGCTCAATACAGAGTAGAGCAAATACAATTATTTATTCGAATATTATAACAGAAATATGGTGTCTTATCAAGTGATGTTGAATGTAGAATAAAGATTCTACATTCAACATCATCACTTGATAAAACACCAGAAGTGTTGAAACAAAATGGCTATTTTTGTAGTGATTTTAGAGCATATAATTTATAATTTTTCGAATAAATAATTATATATATATATATATATATATATATATATATATATATATATATATCCGGGTTACATATATATATATATATATATATATATATATATATATATCCGGTTACACTATATATATATATATATATATCGGGTTACACTATATATATATATATATATATATATATATATCTCCGGTTATATATATATATATATATATATATATATATATATATATATATATATATATATATATATATATATATATATATATATATATATATATATATATATATATATATAATTACACTATATATATATATATATATATATATATCCCTATTACATATATATATATATATATATATATATATATATTTACACTATATATATATATATATATATATATATATATATATTATATATATATATATATATATATATATATATATATATATATATCCGTTAATATATATATATATATATATATATATATATATATATATATATATATATATATATCCGGGTTATATATATATATATATATATATATATATATATATATATACTGATAGATAGATGGATTTTGCTCTACTCAGTCTATTGAGCAATTTTACGCTTTTAATTATTTTTTTACTCTGTCGATGTTTTTTTTTTTTTCACTGGTCATTGCGGTGCTGATTGATTATTTTCAACCAACACGGATGTTTTAAGTCTTTTTCTTATTTTACTGAATTTTTTCCTGATATCGCTTTTGTTCAAATATATTTTTATTTACAAATTTTATTATCTGTTTATATATATATATATATATATATATATATATATATATATTTATTTATTTAAGACATTTTTTATGTTTATACGTTCTTTTTATAGATACAAATATTTAAGTAAATGCTCTGTTTATAATAAACAGTATTAAACAACATTTGCCAGCCTGAATGTTCGAGAAATTTTCATAGAACATATGCGTCCTCCGACAGGAATCGAACCTGTGTCCTATACGGAACTGTCATTTACGCTGACGTTCTTTTACCGATTGAGCCACAGTGGATCGTTCCGGTTAGCAAGGTCTATTTTTATGTTTTTAAACACAATTCTCCATGATTTTCTCTCATTTATTCATATCTGCTCAATGCGTATCCAAATGTAAACAAATGACGTCATATATTATGAAATGGACAGAGTCCGACAATTATTTTTTAAGACATTTTTTATGTTTATACGTTCTTTTTATAGATACAAATATTTAAGTAAACGCTCTGTTTATAATAAACAGTATTAAACAACATTTACCGGCCTGAATGTCTGAGATATTTTCATAAAAAATATGCGTCCTTCGACAGAAATCGAACCTGTATCCTATACAGAACCGTTATATAGCCTGACGTGCCTTAACCGATTGGGCCACAGAGTAACGTTCGATTCCTGTCGGAGGACGAATATTTTCTATGAAAATTAAATGAATCAATGGTAACATGCTGAATTTACAGTTGGTATTTACTGCCACTAATATGAGCAGTATATGTACACTATAAGTACTAAGAAATACATATTTTTCCACAAAAATTTTAAATGTACCATTTTCTCCTATGTTTATTTTGAAAATATTACTTATTGACTATGAAAATTAAGTAACATTGTAGTTGTTGGTGGGCCCCTGTCGTCTGAAATCCCTATGCTTGTACATCATTATACAAATATAAATCTTTTTGTTCCTTTTTGTTGTTTCTCTTGTTGCTTTTGTGTTTGCTTACATATTGGTAAATTAAAAAAAATGTACGGATTGATTTCGGCCGTCAATACCGCTACAAATGCAATAAATAAACAAACACAGACAACTGTTTTAGTAATAAAAAGGAATAAGAACTTTATAAGTCATCTTCACGCTTTCAGTTACTCAAGTCTAATTTGAGAGGACATTTTCGAAGCTCAAAGATCATAAAGATAATGTTAAGAAATTTTGGGATCATACATGTTGTTATCCATTGCAAAGGAATTGTTAGATGAATTGGATTCAGAAGCAGTTATCGGCTAAATAGAATGAACACAAATTGTTGCTCTTAATATACTGTGGAATGCATTGCTCTCCTTTTAAATTATCTGTTAATGTGTGAACTGTGCATTAAACTACTGAAAAATATCAAACAATTACTTAAATTTAAATTAAATGAATCAATGGTAACATGCTGTATTTACAGTTGGTATCTACTGTCAGTAATATGTGCAGTATATATACACTGTAATTACTAAGAAATACATATTTTTCCACAAAAATTTTAAATGTACGATTTTTCCCCATGTTTATTTTGAAAATGTTACTTATTGACTATGAAAATTAAATAACATTGTAGTTGTTGGTGGGCCCCTGTCGTCTGAAATCCCTATGCTTGTACATCATTATACAAATATAAATATAAATCTTTTTGTTCCTTCTTGTTGTTTCTCTTGTTGCTTTTGTGTTTGCTTACACATTCGTAAATTAAAAAAAAATGTACGGGTTGATTTAGGCTGTCAATACCGCTACACAGCCATTTGTTGAAGTTCCAAGATAAAGTCTTGTCATTATTTCATGTCTAACTCAAACCAACGTCGGCGTCTTCATTTATTTGATCAAAATTTTTAATTTGTTATCCATAAAGTTAAAAACAGTAAAAAAAAGGTAAAAGTTCAATCTCTATAGAAGGCACCGGACGTAAAAAGAAAATGACACAAAGAATAATCAACAAAGCGAAAACAAAGACTAAAGACAATAATTCACTTGAGAATTTTAGACAAAAATGAAAAAGATTTGAGAATGTATCGACCGAAACGTAGTGATCTAAACAAGAAAGATGAGGAAACTAG